CTCAAGACAGGACCAAAGCCTGTGTGAGCCTTTTTATTTTAAGTAAAATGGTGCTTTTTTCCTTACTTGGAGATATATAAATAATGTAAATGACATCTTTTCATATGGACCTGTCTGAGTGTTGCTTTACAGAGCTCACTAAATCTGCTGGAACCATCTTGGGCTCTGGCTCCCGACTCCGTGGAGACCTTGCTGGAAGCCCCGGAGAGCCGAGGGGGCGGCACCAGGAGCCGCTGGGAGGAGTGTGGGGTGTACAGCCGTGCCTGGGTCCCAGCAGTTCACTGGCTTGTCACTCGGCCCCGTGAGTGGTCGCTTCATCATCTTACGGGCCAGAACGTACTGACTAAACCTGTGTTAGCAAACTGAGACTCTGTGCCCTTCGGTAGCCTCACGGTGTTCATTTTTCCCTCAGGATGCTTTCTGGGCAGAGCCCTGGCTGTGATCCCCTCGCCGCGGCCCGGGGCGTGCGTGCAGGGCAGGGTGGCCGAGGCCGCTGCTTTCTCTCGGGAGGTCGTGCCGGCAGTCCCCCTGCAGGGCTCGCTCGCTCGCTCGCTCGCAGGCAGCCTGCCTTTCCTTCCCTCCCTGAGGCGACTTGGCAGGATGGTGACAAGCTTGTCCCTGCGCGGCCTGGCCCCTCAGCTCTGTTCCGGTCAGTCCGGTCAGAAAATGTAGAAAGACAGTCCCGACACATACTGGAACTCTTTGGTATTAAGTATTTTAATCGATGACGGGCCTTTGGCAAGTAGCATTAGCTCTTTTTAAATGAAGTCGAACTGAACTAAGGATGCACTTTCTCCGGAGTTGCTGCTTTAGATTACAAGGGCCAAGGAAACTCACTTTGCCACGTCTCTGAAAAGTTGCCGTATTTCAGCCGGAAGGGGCTGCCTTTCTTCTTACTCTCACTCTAACCACGTGCCTGGAGGAGCGGTCCTGGGCTCCGCACTTGGCTCGCCCTCTTTGCCGGGGGCAGGGAAGGGCGTGGGTTGGACCCCGGGTGCCAAGGGCCACTCAAGGGCGGCTTGCTTTCCACTGCATCCTCTGAGGGACGCCTCTTTCTCTCCTTGCCTCTGCTCATGCCTGTTGTCTTGGGAAAAGATGGTCCCTTTGTCTTAAGGCTTTGTGAAAAAGTCATCTCCAGTTAGGACTGGCCCCTGTTTCCTTCTTAGAGGGGCCTGGTGGCCTTTCTGAAGTTACAGGCGGTCAGGAGCCCTCCAAGGCGCGCGACATCTGGCAAGTTTACCTGCCAGGCTGGGTGGTTCTACTGCTTTCTGAATTTCTAAGAATCTCTTCGTTTCTTAACCAGTTCTGCAGAATTATTTGACAATATATATAAGTACCATGTTTTCCTTGTGGTGTACGCTCTGTTCTGGTTTTTGTTTTTAATCAAATGCCTGTTTGGGAGGAGATGAACGTATTTAGTCTTATTAGATTTGCGCTGCTGGATTGTTTTTTTAAGTGTAACCTTGACTAGCTGTCTTATTGTTTATCCTGTAAGATTAGTCTATCAATTAAAGTTTGATAATTAATTGCGTCTTCTTTTCCTTACAATTCTTCACGCGCCTAATCTGTACTGGGGATTGACCAACATTTGGAAATGAGCCCAGAGCCATTTTTGGCCAGCTGTGGTGTACCATGTTACTGTCTTACTTATTTGGCGTATAAGTATATCCAAGTTTGTTCCTGCTGAAAATAGTTGATAAAGGGGTTTGATTTGTTTTACACTGTGTTAGTCAAACTACCCCTCGGCAGTCAGCCACGTCCCTGTTAGGGCTGTTCTCCTTGGCCCGGCCCCCAGGCATTGGAGGGGAAGCTGCCTCCCAGCCCTTACGCCTCCCGCCTAGCACCTCGTGTGACTTCACTCTTCGAGGACGTGTTTGGTGAAACACTGAGATGGAGCTGTAGCTCTAGCCTCAAGCAACAAAGACCCAGGAGGAGGGAGGGAGATCTGTTACCAAAAATGGGACAAAAGCAGAATCCTTGGCACAAAGAGTGACTATAGTTTGTCAGAACTGGTTTTGACCCAGCACCACTCCCACTGGAACCCTCTCTTCTCTTCCCCCTGCGTTGTAAATGTTCCTGAAGGTTCTGGTCTCACTGCCCCTTCCTGGCTCTTTTCCACTTTTCCAATACCTCATAATCCTGAAACAACACTGTTAGATTCTTAAGCCTCTGACTGTTATATGGGAGGGAGGGACGGGTGGGGCTGTGCTATATGTTGCCTGCTGCCCACCTAGGGAATCTTCGGTCTGCACAGAGGGTACTTCTGGACTCTATCCCAGTTCTGAACTGTTATTGCAGGCACCTTAAAATGAATAGGATGATTGACCCTCCTAAGATGGAGAATGAGATAAACTCCAGTCTGAATTTCTTACCATATTTGGGGGGGGAGATATCTTGGCATTTTCTCAACTGTGGGTAGCTAACAGAACACTTTCTACAACAGGACCCCACAGGACAGACTGTCACTAGGGCAGGAGGCAAGGACTTCTTCCTGCTTTTGCCCGAGCGGTCTGTCTAGCCCATGCCAGCTGTAGGAAGTTGACGTGCTTTCCACCCTGGAGGCCTGTGCCAACACCACCCGGCTGCTTCCAGCTGGGATTAACCTCTGGCTTTTCCAGTTCATCAAGGCTATTTTTGTTCTGAAGCCTTGTTAGCCTATCTTATTCTACTGATAGAACCTTTCCTACTCTTCACCGCATTTTATAACTCCTAGCTCTCAAGTTTCTTCTGTTTTTATCACTTTCCTCCATATCTAATTTCAATCCCTTGCTGTCTTCCCTTTTTTGTTTTGGAAATTTTCAAACCTACAGAAAGTTGAAAAATGCTAGTGACCACCTCATGCTTTCACCTGGGTTCATCAGTTGTTAAACTATTAACTCCATTTGCTTTCTCTCACATACTTTATTTTGCTGAAGCATTTGACAGGCATGCAGACATCATGGCATTTCACCTGTGGATATTTAAGCAGCATCTCTGAAGAATAAGGCCATTGTTATACCTAAGTATGACACGGTTACCTCACCTAAGAAAACTAACATCAATTCAGCAATATCATCTAATATACAGATGATATGATGTTAGTAATATCACCTAATATATCTTCTAGAACTGTTCTTTCCAATCAATAATCCTTATGTTTTTGAGTCCTTCTCCCAAGTCTTGTATTTTTTTTTAAATGGCTTTTTTCTCTCACTTTAAAGTAATCTCCTCCCATATGTTTTTAATCTTAATTTCACAGTGACCCCTACTCTCTTTCGCTTCCTGTCATGAGTCTTGTACTGTATGTTACTGCAGCTTCTGGAGCTGGGGTTCAGGAGGAGGTTGTCAGGGAACTCGCGCCCCCGCTGGGTAGAGTCGCCTTGTCTTCTGATCACTCTGGCTTCCCTCCCACATCTAAGTCTGAGATTTAAGGACCCCAGGGGTCCGTGACTGAGGACTCTTGGTTATTGGTGACAAACCCAATTCACATGAATTACGCAAGAGGGTTTGGCTCATGTAACCAGAAAATCCGCAGTGTCAGACCTAGGCCTGTGCAGGCGCTTCAGTCTCATCAGGCGCCTGACCCTCCACCTCCTGGCTCTGCTTCGTTCTCTCCTGACTTAGCTTCTACCAGACTTGCAGCCCCAGGGGAAAGAGAATTGTTTTCTTCCGCAAGAATTCCAGAGTAGAAATACCACACAGGGCTCTTATTGGCTTGTTACTCTGCCCTCCACAAACACACAAACATAATAACCTTAGTGTCCGAGACGTGTTAGTTGACTTCCATTCATTGTGAGTCTGGGGCTTTCGGGTGAATACTGCGGACTGTAGAAAACGGCAGCTGTGGCAGACCACCCAGCAGGGATTGGACCTCTTGCTGTGTGCCAGGTAAATCACTTGGAAAGGACCTTCTTTAGGGCTCCAGCCTTGGTGAAGAGTGGGTTCCTCTTCTGGACCCTCTCTCCACGGGGGACTTGCTCTTAAATACTCTGCCTGCAAGTCCCGTAACGTCAGCTCCTTCACTGAGTCTGTCCATTGGCAGGCAGTGGGTCAGGTTACGCACACGCGTTACGTTGTCACCACTCCACCATGTCCCTCTTGTCAGCCCCACTTTACCCATCGGAGGAAACTTAGGCTTAGAGAAGTGACTTAGCCAAGGTCATATGCTTGTCAGTGACCAGGGCTGTGATTCAGAACCCAGATTTGCCTGATGCCAGAGTCTGCAGATGCTCGTGGTATTGAGAACTTAGGAAAGAACTTGGCTACTTCTTGTTTTGCTTTCATACTTTTTCTTCTTTTCTCTCCCCAGTTTAACGTCTTAAGGGCACTAACTTGTGTTTATGACTTGATTTTTAAACTTCAACCCTTGACATTTATTGCTTGGCTACCATTTAAAAAACTAAGACAGTAAGTAATATATGCACTTGATAGAGAGATTTCAAGGGGTAAGTCTCACACAGTTCTCCTAGTTTCTCCACCCCGGCTCTTCTGAAGGAAGTAGAATTCACTTTAGGCTTAAGCACTAAGAGGCCATCTCACGAGTGGAGGGTCAGTCATTCCCACGTAAATCCCTTATCAGAGGGAGAGGGCATCTGCAGTGGGAACTTCGCAGTAGCGGGGAACAGGCCCAGGCAAAGCATCTCACAAACACTCTGACTCCAGCCCGGAGTTTTTCTTGAGATCTGGCTCATTATCTGTCATCTGCTTGGGTATCCCACAGAAATCCATCGTCCCAAACTGAAATTATATCCCTCTTCTTTTTTTTTTTTTTTTTTTTGCGGTACGCAGGACCCTGACTGCCGTGGCCTCTCCCGTTGCGGAGCACAGGCTCCGGACGCACAGGCCCAGCAGCCATGGCTCACAGGCCCAGCCGCTCCGCGGCATGCAGGATCCTCCCGGACCGGGGCACAAACCCGTGTCCCCTGCATCGGCAGGTGGACTCCCAACCACTGCACCACCAGGGAAGCCCCCCTCTTTTTTTTTTTCAACTTTTTGGCTGTGCCACGTGGCATGGAGGATCTTAGTTCCCCGACCAGGGAATCGAACCCACTCCCCTGCAGTGAAAGCATGGAGTCTTAACCGCTGGACCGCCAGGGAAGTCCCTGTCTCCCTCTTCAATCTGACCCTCCTCTATTCCCTGTTTCAGACAGCAACTCACCCAGCACCAGTAGCCGAAGCCATAAGCTTGAGAGATACCCTAGACTTAACTTCCTCCGTCATCTGACCAAGTACTGCTATTTTTATCCCCAGAATATTTTTGCAGTCCATCTCTCTTTATCCCATCCTCCAAATCTGTGTCTTTCTCTTGGGTTCTTCTAGTAACCAGCAGACTCATCCCCTTCAGTCCACCCTCTGCCGCCAACCGCTGAGCTCAAGTATAGCTGTGTCTTCCCTGCAGAAAATCCTGCACCCACTGCCAACAAGTTCCTTACCAGACAGTAGGGCCCTACTTCGTGACCTGATCCCGGCCACAGCTTGAACCACAGGTCACCCCACCCATGAGTTCACGCTCCAGCCATATCCCTGCCTGAACAAATGACATCTGTGCACACGGGGCGCTTCCATGTCTCCTGCTCTTGCCATGGGGCTGACCCTGGCAGAGCCTTAGAAACTCTGCTCAGGCTTCACTGCCCAGGAACGCCTTTCTCAAGCCTCACTCCTCAGCTTCTGCTGAACTACTCTCAGTTTTCACAGATTTTTAATACTTCTGTTTTTCGTTTATTACACAAAACATGGTATTTATAATTTAGAAAATACTGATTAGTGAAAATAAGCCAATGTTATTTCTACCACGTGGTGGTAATCTTTAACATTTTGGTATGTGTTTTATGGAAATGGAATCATGCTGTTTATAGTCTCTTTTCACTTAAAACACCAATCTTTCATTGTGTAAAATTATTTCTATTTAACCAATCCCATATCATTGGATATTCAGTTGTATGCCATTAATATACTTTTTGTTACATGTATGTATCATGTTGAATTTTCTCTTTATTTTGACAAATTTCAAACAGGATAGTTGACAGTGGTACAGTGAACGCCCATATACATGCATATACCTGTCAGCTAGTCACCATTTGTTAACAGTTTTGCTACTGTTCTTTTTCCTGAACCATTTGAAAGTCAGCTGCAGACATCTTGATGCTTCAAGATGTAGTAAGTATGCATCTCCTGAGAATAAGGTTAGTTTACTACATAATACTGATTATATCTAAGAAATTTAACACTTGTTTTATCACCTATGTAGAGTTCAATTGTCCTCAAAATGTCTTTTTAAGTTTTTTTTCCCCCAAACCTTTCAAGCTTCACATTTCCCATGAAGTTGATGTCTTTGGTCTCCTTTAATTTAGTTACCCTGTCCTTTTTGTCCCATATCATTGGGTTTTTTTTTAAAGTCCCACCTTCTGGATTTGTTTCCTCATCAGTTTTATCAGCACCAGAGGTGACATGTCCTCAGTTTATCACGTCAGGTATTGGTGATGCTGAATGTGAAACATCATGTGGATTTTAACTGTCTCCCTTATTAGATGGCGAGCTACCTGAGAGCAGAGGCAATCTTATCCTTGTGTACCGAGGCCCTGCCTCGGGGAGTGTGCCGCACATGGTGAGCACATCGTTGTTTCACTGGGTACATGAGTGCACGGGCTGTTTGGGGGAGACAGAAGAGCGACGGGGCCACACACAGGTCATGACAGGCCTCCCAGCCACCCTCTCTCAAAGGGCCCTGCCTACAGCAGACACACTGATCCTCGACGATTGAAAACTATGCACACAATCCCATTTATTCTAATTCACGCACTTTGGAATGCTACATTTGGCCAGTTTGCTGCCTATGTATAGTGGCACACAGGTCTCTCAAAGAACTTTGCAGCAAGTTTTTAGACGAGAAAGGCCTCTGCTGTTGTCTGAACACCCAGATCTTTAATAGCATCATCAATGAGTGATGTGTGTGATTCAGTGAGCTTTTTTCCTCATTCTGGCTCCCTCGGGACTTAGAACAGCTATAGAATGATGTGAATGGGCTGTTTCACTGCAGGTGTATGGTTAAGAGGTTAGCAAGCAGTCATTTCGGTGGCAGTACTGCTAGACTTCATGATCTTAGGCAGCAATAAACACAGATGCAATTTTTGGTAAAATGTGCAGCTGCCATGGAGGTTAAAAAAATAGCGAGAAGGACATTTACCCCAGATGTTAAATTATGGTACATTCCCAGCAAGGGAGTCTTGTGCAGCCTGTTTTGTTGCCTGTTGGACCTCTAGTGCCTAAAAAGCACTCAAACTATTTGCTGAATAAATGCAGTTGTGAAAAAGAACAAGGCAGTGCCTTACGCTCCAATTTGGCAGTTTTCCAAGAATACCTTGTTAAGTATCAATATTAAAAAAAATGCAGTATAACAATGAATGCTTCCTATTACTGAAAAAGGCCAGAAATACAGCTGCCTGACCTTGTCTGTAGTAATTCTAGAGTGACACAGAAGGAACTGGCAACATTGGGTACCTCCAGGAAGGAGAAGCAGGTGGGAGTGTGGCCTGAACCCCAGACCAGACTGCAGAATCTTGCCATGTCATCCCTCAGCCATGAAGCTTCTCTGCTGGCTGAGGGTCACTCAGCCAGTCCCTCCACCTCTGTAACGCTACTTCCCACTTAACTACAAGACCTCGGTCTCCTCCCTCCTACAAACTAGAAGTTTCGGGAAAAGTAGAGAAGTATTTTATGATAGGTCTCTCAAGTTAAATCTCATCAAGAGCTAGGCAACTGCCTACATTAATTCCAAAGACCTAACGCAGTGCTAGGAATAAAAGGAGCACAAGTTAATACTGATATATGACAAACAGACACAATGTCAAAGTAATCTTCTAGGAGGAAAGAGAACCTTTTATCCTCCAAAATTGCTAAATTCCATTAATTCAGAAATGGATCCTTAGGTCAGGGATGAAAAATTAGTCCCACACGCTGGTGTCAGCTGATATATGGAATAATCAGTAAACTAATGGAGGCATAAATATATTTGAGGCAAAATGTTTTTTATCACTAATTCATTCCTCATGCTGAAGGTGATGTCTCCGGAGAGCAACTTGTTTCAAGTACCCTGCTGGAAAGTCATATTTTTGATATGCACGAATACCAATGACAAATCAGACAAATCTCTAAAAATGCCAAGCAACGTCAATATAAAGCAAGCACTTTAGAGACGTAATTAAAAAACTGAAGACAGAAAAACGTTGGTTTTATAGATTTATTTTCAACAGGCAAAAACACTTAAGACAATTTAAGTACAAGTCTAAACAGAATTACTCTGTCCAAGTCAGCAATGATGCAGAGATGCGTTCTCACTTCCAGACACTCGCCAGCATCTTCTGAGTCTTCTCTCAGTGAAGAAAAGGGGTCTGGCAAAAGATAAGTTCAGTGTTTCTCTCTGGTGCTACTGACTTTAAGTGATAATCTCTGAGGTGCTAAATCCAGGATGACTAAAGTTATAGACTCTAATAAAATGTTTTATTTTAAAAGTCTGATCAGTTGATTATTCTACAGCCTAAAGAACAATAGCCAATATTTATCATGAGGCTTCTTTACATCAAGCGTTGTATTAAGTGATTTACACACACTATTCAATTTTACCTTCACAGAAGCCCCAGGTAGGTCCTATCATTATCCCCATTTTACATATGAGGAAACTGAGGCCTACAGAGGCTATGCAGCCTGCCCAAGACCACAGGCTTACAGAATGTTGCAGAGCTGAGAATAAACTCGGGTGTCTAACGCTAGAGTCCATCCTCTTACTCACAAGGCCTCTCCTGCCTAATTAAGAGCCAGGCCATCTCAGCTTCCTGGACAGTTACCCTTGGGTGGGTAACTGAGGGAGGCAGAGGTCTCTGCTTCTGGGTCACCTTGCTCAGTTTTTTGTACGAGGCTGCTTTTACGAGGAGGGCTGACAGCAAGAGAGTCCTGTCCAGGAGTGAACTGCTGTCAACACCTCTGGAGGAGAAAGATGATCACTAGGGCTGGCCTCCTTGGAGTGGCAGATAACCAGAAGGTGCCAGCATTTTATAACCAGTGAAAATCTGTCAAGCACTTCCATTTTTCCATTTCTTCCCAAGTCTGTCTTTATTGAAGAACCACAAAGGGGTTAATTCTATGGGAGAACATAATTCCATAAATCAAATTATTTACCTGATATTTTATTCATATACGTCCTTCTTATCTGCAATGTAATCTACAATTTCTTGTGGGCACATTAACTTCTCCGCATCTATATCAGGAATTTCAAACCCTGAAAGTAAAATGTGCAACAATGCGTTAGTGTAGGAAATGCCAGTCCTTTAGAACTGAAAGTATCTAACACTTCAGCAATACCCAGAAGTACATCAAAAATTTCCAGCAACCCTGAATCCCATTTAAGTTGTGAGCCTGTTATGTTTCCAGGCAACATTTTAGATATAATTCACATATTAGAAAATTCCCCCATTTAAAGTGCAAAATTCAATGTTTTTTAGTATATACACAAGGTTGTGCACCATCACCATCATCTAATTCTAGAACATTTTCATTACCCCCAAAAGAAACCCTGTAGCCCTAACCAATGCCATCCCTCTAGTTAGCATACTCTCTGAGGAACGGTAAGTTCTGCTCTGTAGGAAGGCACAGAAGTCCCTTGGCTTCCACTCAGGCAATTCACCCCCAAAATGGGCTGTGGAACCTTGTAAAGGTCTCATTTGCACAACTAACCGTCCCAGACAAGGGTAAGTTGGAGTGTGCATGGGAGGCACTGCAGGAAACCAAAGCGTGTATGAGTCTGTGCACGCACACGCCCTATCCGTGGCACACCCAGCACTTCTCTAGACATTTAGGCCTAGCTCATCGGGGAGGTGGGGAGGAGGGAGATGGTGCACCGAGGTGTCATCAGCTTCTCCACAGGTGAGGCTATGCCCTCATCTTGGAGACCCACCTCAAGAATCTCCGTGCCACACTCCCCCAGGCCTCTTCCGGTCGCTTAGCCCTTGGTATTACACCAGGCACTCTGCGGACCTGCAGTAAGTGCTCTCCAAGTAAGTGCACTGTCCCTAATAATCACTTCCCCCGACAGTAAGCAGGGGTGGGGGAGGGGTGGGCACGACTGTTGCAAACCCCAATCAGGCTCCCAGCATTCCTCTGCATTTAATCCACCGAAATCAAGAGCCACGACAGGCAGGTCCAAGACTCAGCCCGTGTGTGTTACCAAATTCGTCTTCCATGGCCATGATAATCTCCACTTGGTCCAAACTGTCTAAGCCCAGGTCTTTCATAAAATGGGAATTTACTGAGAGCTGCAAGAAAAGAAACACCAAACGCAAAATTCAGTCTGTGAGAGCGTTTGTTTCTCAAGATAACTGAATGGTGAAATATCAGTCATTATACAGAAGATTTTTTAATATAAAAAGGCCATATTTTAAACATAAAGAGCCACAACTAACATTATACATTGAACGTGTGCCAACCCATACTTGGCGTGCTTTATATGTTAACTTACTCTACCTTATTTTGAAATGGTTAGCAATATATATAAAGCTAATGATGAATTCACTTTATATATTTTATGATGATCTCTGATCACTGTTCTGCATGACATCTGAGAGTCTGGTTTTTCTTGCTGCCTTACCACTAAGACACCACACCTTAGAAGTGAATTCTGCTCCCTCAAGAACAGCACACAGTGTCTATTATCACCCTGTCTTTAATTTAGACCTCAAGATCACCAGGAAGAATTCTTCAAAAACCACATCAAAAACAAACTACCCTACCCACACCACAGATTCTGTTATTAAAGAAGGAATGTTTTAAGGTAGGACTGTGAGAAAAACTCCAAGAAGAGTTAAGTTAAAAAAGCAAGGTGCACAACAGTATTTACAGTGTACTACCGGTTGTGTTTTTTTAAAAGGTTGGGAGATATAGATCACATAGTACATATAATATACATACATGTACTTGTGTGTGTGTGTGTGTGTGTGTGTGTGTATATATATATATATATATATATATATATGCCCTTCCATATGCACTGAGAATCTCTGGAAAAATACTCAAGAAGTCAGGTCAACTGGCACCTCCCAGAAGGAGAACTGGGTGCCTGGGGCGACTTTTTACTTAATGTCCTTTAAACCCTTTGGATTTTGTACCATGTGACTAAATACTCATTTAAAGAAAAAACATTTAAACCACATCAATTACCTTTTCTGGGTCAATCTTGTCATAGAGTTTCAAGACGTAAAGAACACGGTCCTTGATGCCCTCTAATGTCAAAGGGGGTGCATCACTATACTGGCGGCACAGCGGTGTAACTCCACCTGGAACCTAGACCAAGGGAGGGAAGCACTGCTGTTGAGCCTGAAATGCCTCTAAGTAAAGGCATTGGCCTACAGATGTCTTTCACAAAGCTTTCATGGGGTTAGCAAACCCATCTCATCTGATTCTGTGGCCATTGGGACACACCGAGGCCTCATGCTGGGTAGTGTCAGAAGCCCTAGCAGTTCAAGAGCATAAAAATGGATCTCCTTTCCCCTCAGAGCCAGGACCGGCCCCCTTCTTTCCTCTGTTCAGCCATCAGGCTTTGGACATTGGTTCCACTCAGTAACACTGCCACTAAAACCATCTAGGGCCTGCAGAAGAGCCTAAGGCTTCCCATGGCATCTTAAGCAGTGCACTGCCTCTGTAAGGCACTGCCACCTTTAATACCCAAGTCAAAATAACTCATGCCAAGAGCTGTCAGGGTGAACTGAAAGGCAGCTCACACTGAAAACCATACACTGGAAGGATCTAATTTGGCCCCAGCAGTAATTACACTAACTTTGGCCAAGACAAATGAAGCCAGTACCAACCCAAAGAAGAGGATGATGGAGCCTGACAGGCATACACTCCAATCTATTTTCCTTCCAAGTGGGCTTGCCTTGTTGCCACCAACTAAATAATGAGCCATTCTGATCTTTGCCATGATGGAGTAGTATCTCAAATCTCTCTCCCGCTGTGGAGCACAGGCTCCGGACGCGCAGGCTCAGCAGCCATGGCTCACGGGCCCAGCCGCTCCGCGGCACGTGGGATCCTCCCGGACCGGGGCACGAACCCGTGTCTCCTGCATCGGCAGGCGGACTCTCAACCACTGCGCCACCAGGGAAGCCCCACACTGCTCCTTTAACTCAACTTCAAGGTGACACTTTTAACCTTTTGATTCATCGATAAGACAATGCCCCCTGAATGAATCCACTACACTGTCAGTAAATCTTGACACTGGCTGCATAAAAGAATCACTGGCAACTTTCGAAAACCGATGACCAAGCCCCACCTCTAGAGATTCTAACTGATTTGGCCAGGGCATCCTTAGTTTTTATTCTCATATCTTAGTCAAGATTGAAACCACAATTACATGAAGTCCTGGAGTTTGAAAAGGGAATTCTCAACTAAACCTTGGGAGTCTATCCTACTTTAAGACGATAGTTCTTAACCTTGAGGCGCTTCAGAATCACCTGGGGAACTTAAACAAAAAACATGTCAGTGCCTCACGCAAGAGGAGTAAATCAGATGGGGAGGGGGAGAGCCCACGAGGGATTTATTTTTCTTTCTCTTTCATGCTACCCAGGTGACTTGAATGTGCAGCCAGGGTTGAGAATCACTGACCTAAGGAGAGTTTCAGTCTCAAAAAGGTTTCATCAGATTAAAAAAAAAACAAAACAAAACTAGATACTACTTGTTTCCTATCCTTCCAAGAGACCCAGAAACAGGCAAAAGGAGCCACAGGGAGAAATCCAGGGAGAGAACTGCTGTGAAGAAGGCTGTAGGCCAGGGTGTCTTCCTCTCTGCACCCCGTCATTATTTTTTCCTAGAAAGCTATCACGGTATTTATCATTATCACTACAATTAACGGCAACCAGTATTGTGAGAGCTTACCAAGCACCGCCCTCGGTACTTTACCTGTATGATCTCCTCTAAACCTCGCTGAAACTCCACAAGGTAGAAACTAGTATCCCATTTTTACGGTTCAGACTGAGGCTTAGCGAGGTTACAAGGCTTTTCCAAAGTTCCGGGGTCAGCTTTCGAACCCAAGGGTGTTTGACTGGAAGATCTGTGCTGTTGCCCGTAATGGCTAGGTCACCCGGGTCCCGGCAGGGATCAACCAAGCACCTTTAGGCAGTGGGACGGAGAGCGAGCAGGCGTCCCCGGGTCACCCCCGCCAACAGCAGCCACAGTAGCTGCGGCCCAGCTGCCTGGCCCGTCCCCACCACCCCGAGCGGGCCCGACGCCTGACCCCAGCCAAGCCCCCCCAAAGTCACCGCGAATCACCTGCGTGAGCACCGAGGCCGGATGCGGAGCCCAAGACCTCGCTCTGGCCCCCGCGGGGAACAGGGTAGTGCAGAGTGACCGGGCCGCCGCCAGCGTGGGGAGCCGGGGCAGCGGCGCGAAGGCGGCGGGCAGTCGGTGGACACAGACGCAAAGGACACGAGCCGCCATGGCTACGCCGACCCAGGAGACACTGCGCCGC